TTTGTTCCTTTTTAGACGGAATGAAATTTCTTGAAATTTTGAATTGGAAAATTTTTTTTTAACTTTTTTAATTTCTATCAATGCTTTTTGTTAATAACCTTTTTTTGGTGAGCTTTTTTTACAGCATAATTTTTTTATTTTAAGGAAAAAATGTGAAAGGTTGATTGTGTGTAATTTTGAAAGTTAAAGCATATTCAAATATGTATTTTGGCATCAATTTGATGATTGAAATATTACCTATCAAATTTATTGAAACTATCATTTATTCAATAAAATGGATTTGTATGAATTATTTTTGAAATTCAATTCAAACGTAAAACGACAAATGCAGGTAGATTGAATTATAGCACGTATTCTTCTCAATTTCATTTCTCATTTCTCTTTCTAATTAGATCATAATCTTTGATCACTAATGCAATAAAAGAAGACTGAGCTCTATATTTTTTATATTAACGCTATATAACCATTGCAATTTCAAAATTCATAGAAGAAATGAGTACTTTTTAAAATACTTTTAGAAATGAGTAATTTAATTAATTTCCAGTAATAATAAAAATATTTTAAGGTGACAATTCGACCATATTGCTAATAAAATTGATAGGTAATCAATTTTGATTACCTGTCAATTTTAATGCTTATTTTATTGATTGTATTATATCAAAATGTGCATTTATTAATTAATTCTTCAACTTTTATTAGTTAATGATTACAAAAGGTTCAAAAATAATTTCCGATTGAAAAAAAACTTCGTGAATAATTTTTTAATTATATGCGATTTGTACGATATTTATTCATTTTTTCTAAAAAAAAAAATGATTTTTTATTTCAGATGAAGAAATGCCTGGAAATAAAAGAACTTTCAATTTATAAGAAATAAAAATACCAAAAAAAAACAGTACCCTATTCATTTTATCAAATTTTAATTATTTGGCCAAACAATAGCAAATTAAATAAAGGGCAATACACGCCTATCAGTTTAGCGATATATGCATAAATAATATATTTCAAAATTACGCACTCTAATTTAAATTGCTGTTCGAATCCATTTTTTGAAACATTTCTGATGGAAAATGTGGGATCAGCTGATGCAGGTTGTGTATTAATTAACTTATTAATTAAACCAATTATTAAATCTTTAATTTTTTATTGTAAATCTCTTTTTTTCTTTTTTGCTTTATACATTATTTTTATAATTTTTCTTTTATTTCCTTAGACAAATTTTGAATTATAAATTATTAGAGCAAATTAATCTAACGATAGCATTAGAAAATTTGTAGTATTAAATTGCATTCACCTTTTGAAACTTTTCTAGCACTAATTAAATTTGATTACAGCACACTTAAAGTTGATTTTCGAAAAAATTTTTTCACTAATGAATTATTTGATGCTAACGAATCCTTCAGATATTCAAAAAACTAGAAATAATAACAAACAGTAAATTATTTCATTTAATTCATTCATTGGTTCATGCATTCCACTATTTGCCAACTATTTTTAAAATTATTTTTGGAATTTTCGAAAATTAAAAAAAATCAAATCACTTTTTTTACTTCAAAACCGAGCTAAAAAAAAGTTAGAAAAAGAATGACATAATTAATGAAAATATTCATAGCATTCATTCATTATAAATTGATTATTAATAGGAATAGCCTATTTAGGAATACCGCATGACTATTTGATAGAAAAATAATTTTTTTTTTTGTTGACATTCTTTAATAGTTCTGATAAATTGCTACAATTAAAAATAGACTATCTCTTTTAAATCACTTTTAAGAAATTCAATACATTTTGAAGATTTTTACAAGAAAATAGAAAAGAATCCTGCGTACAATAATTTTTATTTATCTTAATCCTAAAAAAAAAAATCCTAATTTTTATTTTGTAATATTTTTTTAATTTTTACTTAAATTCTTTTTAAAAAATTACGGGATTTTCTTTTTTTTATTTATAGCATCAATAGGCACTACATTGCGTTTGTTAGAGCCACCACGATCGTTGTGGGAGTCATCATCTGGAGGTCAATTGTCGTGTTACGGTAGCTTGACCGCATCAACCTCATCAGTTTGCGCTCCAACCATCCATCGACAAAAATTATCCAACACACCTGCTTATGAGTATGTTCATTATTTTTGTTTCATTCAAATTAGTTAGCTTCTCTTTTTAGCTATCAAAAATATCGCCATTTTGTTTCGTTTCATTTTTATCTTAAAAATTTATTGAAAAATATTTTTAAATGTTTATAACTAGAAATTATTTTGTTATTGACAAATTCTAACTAATCAATCGATACTTTTTTATTCATGAAACCTCTAGCGATCAATAATTCGACTTTTTCATCGTTTTCTTAATCTGTATAATTTGTGAAAACCTATGCATATATCTTTTAGGTGATTCATTGATAAAATTCCTACTATCATAGTCTTTTAATTGAATCTTCTGATAAAATTCTTCACTGATAAAAGTCTAGTTGATATCATTTCGATATATTATCATATTATTTCAATTATTTTCATAATAACCAAGGAATGGTTATGGCAGAAGTGTTTTAAGATTATTCATTTTTATCATAAATTTCTAGTTTCAACTTCACATGCATAGGTAAGATCGTAAAATAAAATTAATTTGCTCCAATTATCAGTAATTATAATTGAAAATAATTAAGCATGAGTTAAGTAAGCATTAAAAATATATCATTATGACAACCATTTTGCAATATGCATATATTTTTTAAAAGTGCAGGAAAAAATCTACGTTACTTTTGCAATAAGAAAATTCCATAAATACTCATTCAATTTTAATGCAAACGATTTTAAATTTTTAAATAATTCATGAAAATGGAATGTAGGAAAAAAAGAAGAAAAGAATGAAACAGGAAGCGATTTAACATAAAATTTGTTGTTCGTTTTAATGCATTACAAAAGCATTTAAATTTCATCTTTTGACCATTTCACTTTTTTGAACAACAAATTGGTTAAGTTCAATTGTCTCAAAAAAAAAAAGATAAATATCATTAATTACAAGTCTTGTTTGGAGGGATGGAGAAAATATTTTATCCATTTCTTTATAAATTTTCTTCATAAATTTTTAAAATTTCTTTATAAATTTTAAGATTTCTTACATTTTTTTTACAAAATTTAAATTTTTTCCACAAAGAAATGCAAATAAAATAGCAACTTCTTTTTTTTCTGAACATTTTTCACGAATAAAATTTTGGTAGCTATAGGAAGCTACCGAGATCGGACAGTGCTACTTCTATGGAAGCACCGAAATTTCATTACAATATGGATTTTGATTTACGCGCATTGAAAGAAGCTTTAAAGTCAGCGGAATTTTTGGAAGAATCCGGTTATCAATCCGTTTTAGAACGTTCACAGTACAATCAATACGGTACAGGATGGATTATTCGTCAAGATATGAGCGAAGTAAACAGTGATACTGATGATAATTGGGGTAAGCAAATTCATCCTTAATTTATATTTTGCGCAAAATTTTATAGTAAAATCTTTGATGAATTATAATAAATCTGTGATAGTTGCAAATATAATTGAGAAATAAATCATGTCAATCTTTTTCTATGTTAAAAAATATAAATTATTGATCGACTTTTGGTTATAGTTATTTTGCGTTATGTATCATTGCTCATTTGTAAATATATCAATTCGTTGAAATTTATTTAAACAAATTTAATAAATTATAATTTTCACTTCTCCACATCCACAATAGCTGTATTTGTTCTTTATTTTTATTTTTTTGTTATAGAAAATACGAAAAAAGTATTCAATTTTAGATAGATCAATTTAGTTTGCCGTTTGTTATTTTTGATTTCAATCCGAAATGTCATTTTTTTCACAATGAATCTGAAGTTTTATTAAAATATATGTTTAACGATGATTATGATAATCAATAATAGACAACAGTGATAACGAAAAGTCTCTTTTTCAATCTCTTTTTTACAATAAATTTAAAATTTTACCGAAATATACTTATGATAATGATGATTATATGATAATATTAGTAATAATAGTAATGTTGATAGCGATTGCAATTACATTGGTAGTGTTGTAATAATAATAATGCTAATTACGAAAATTACTCGGCAATATTTTCGCGATAAATTTGACTTTTTATTAAAATATATTTCCGATGATTATGATTATATTGATAATGATAATATTGATGATGATAGCAAAAATCAACATCTTTTTCACAATAAATTTTGAAATTTTACTAAAATGTATTTTATGATAGTGATAATGATGGCAACATGGTAACAATAATAGATTTAATAAAAAGGATGAAGAGAGAGAGATTGTTAAAATTGTATTATAATTATCATCATATTCATCATTCTACCACTTTTATTCTAATCCTTCCAATTATCATCGTAGACCTGATCCGCTCAAGTAATCGTCATTTCCTGTTCAATCATTATAGCTCATTCATTCAATTCATCCGCCCATATTTCTTCATATCTTATCAAGGAAATAATTAATAAAGAAATGACAAGCAGATTTTATCACAGTGCACATCCACAATATTCATAACAATCTTCGCATACCATTTTAATATCTTTATTTAAAATCTTTCTTTTTGCATTTGTTTATTTCAAATTTAATCTCCTTTTAAGCTAAATTCTGCATCAAATAATAACCGCTTCAATTTTCGAATTTTAGAAAGAAATATAATTATATGATTGTATAAGTTATAATTTTTTTTTTTTTTACAAAATCAAACAGTTTTATCGTTTTATTTAAAAAAAAAAAACGGAAAATTACATTGAGATAGCTATTTTTGCAGAACAGATTAAAAAAATAATAATCAAAGTAATTTTTTATGTAATTGTCTTTTTTTTTTTAATAAAATGATAGCTGTTTGGTTTGTAAATTATAACCTAAGCAAATATGACAAACATAAAACTCGATTAAGAATTTTTTTTTTTTTTAAGCTGAAGATAGCTATCAAAATTTATCGATGATAGTTTTCCTTATTTAATACAATCCCTTAGCTCGTACTTAATTCCATTTATTTCAAAAGCCTATCTTTCTTCTTTTTTGTTGCTTTCGATGATTTTTAAGTTTAAATTATAGAAGCACAAATTGTTAGCTTGTTCTTTTTGCATTAAAAATTTGTCTTTTAAGACATTACAAATGTTCAATTAGATTAAAATTGACTCAGAAATCCATAGATTGAATAGAAATTCAATGTATGAATTTTTGAATTTACATTTACAATTTCGCTGCATGAAAAAATAAATATGAGATGTCAAAATTAATTGAATTGATAGCTTCAATGATTTGATTGCAAATTTATGAAAATATTTAATTTGAATTTCATGAAACAAAAAACCCCTCCTTATCGGTAATAATTTTTAAACAAAGATCGATTATAAGTTTCTTTTTAAATTATTTCAATAGCTTCTAAAATTCCCTTACGAGATTTTTTCCCTCACAGCATAATCATTATGAATTTTCAAATTTGAAATGAATTTTTGAGCTGAAAATTAGTGAGAAACTTGGATGAATTGAATTCTTCGTTTTTGATTATTATTTTTTTTTTAAACCCTCAACAAATTTCTTTTTTTGTCATCAGATTATGAATGCTCCTTTTGTGTTATTTGCAGAAAATGTTTGTAAAAAGAAGAATTTATTGAATAAAATATCAAAATATTATTATCTCGAAAGAAAAAAGGATTAATTTGAATTTTTATCAATTCTTAACTTTCATTATTTTATCCTTATGAAAGTTCTTTTTTTTTTTTGTTATAAAAGAAATTTTCGATAATTTTGAAGGTCATCTTGAAAAAATTCCAGGAAAAAAAAATGATTTACTTATTTTTAATATCATAAATTTATAATACGATAGGTTTATCATTCTTCTTTTTGCCACAATAATTCTATAATTTTTTTTTTTTTGGAAATAATTTTTACAAATAAAAATAATAATAAGGTTGACATATCGTTTTTTTTTTGAATATTTATTTCATTTGCTCAGATGCATCTGCAATAATATCACTAATTATATGTTGAATTATAATCAAAGCCTGTTGTGCTCGATACGATATAAGCTTTATACGGTTGTCATTGTTTGATATTACTATTATTATTTTCATTATTATCATTATTATCTGTCATAAAAGGTCCAATATTACAATTGCAACAATTGCAGCACCTATTAATTATCATTTCTTAATCTAATGATTATAGCAATTATCATTTGTTACTGACAGTACATATTATAGGTATCATAACAATCACTATATATAGTATTTGTGTTATCATCACTTTGTTTTTCTCTAATATCATTATCACTATCACTATTACTATTATCATTGCAATCATCTGCTACGCTCGGCATTACTATCATAATAACTGTTGCATATCATGATTATCACTTGTTATTACTATGGCTATTCATTGCACTAATTATCGTGGTATTCACCATTTGCTTAAAGAGTATTACTGATTGTATTGCTCTTATAATAATTACTAAATTTAATTGATTATTATTTGTACTATTACCATTGCAATAACCATTATATCTACTGATTATTATTTTTGATGAAAATAATTACTGATAGTATTGCTGTAACAGCAACTGATCCTACCATTACAACTGACAATAGTAATACTTTTACTCTAACCATTAATAAAGATAATTTATAGTTAACGTATATTTATGAAAGGATTGAAGATATTGGCAATAATAGTAATCATAATTGCAATAATAATAATTTATTTTAAGAATAATCAGTGAAGGACATATTCTTTTATCAATTATCATTTTCTTTTCTTATGCTGTTATTATTCATCATCGCTGTTACTACTATTAATATTATTATAATTGTCATTATTATTATTTTGTTGCTATTACTGTTACCAAAATTCTTGTCAATTTTATTCAAAATTATCATCAAATTTATATTTTATTCCTTATCATATCAATTACCCTATCTATCTTATTGCTATAAATAAATTATTGCAAGTTTTATTTTGCAACAGTACCAATCATTCTTTGTAATATTTATCAAAATTTGAGATAAGAATTTTAAAAAATACTAATAATTAATTCGTAAAAGCATATTATTAATTGATCGCAGTTAAATATCGTCAATACATATTTTGTAAAATATATTATCATTACGATAATGTATTTTAAAACAAATATTAAATCAATCAAATTTCATAATATTTTCAAACATTAGAATAATAAAATTTAAAATTAGGGTTAAATTTTTTGACTGAAATATCAAAATCTTTTATTGCTAGAATGAATATATACATTTACAGATGGTTATATGGATGTTGGCATTAAACGAATTAAAATTAAAGAAATGTCAGATATTTTGGCATCGAGATTTGCTTTTATTACCGGTAAGTCTATTCACTTTTCATTTGTATTTTTCTTTTTTTGCTTACAATTACAAAATATAATAATCAATAAAATCATTTCTTCTTTGCTTTAATCTTTTTTTTTTTTTCATTTATAATTTATGCAAAGAATTTATCTTTAGCAATATTTTAGTAGGGAAAAAAGATAAAATTTTCAAATGGAAAATTTATTACATCTGTTTAGTCTATAATTATTGTCTTTTTTTCTTATTTTTACTAATTGCTGAATTATTTCAAAACGATACCTCACATAAAATATAAATCTTATTTAACGTAGTTTATTTCATTTTTTAGCTAATAAATTTAAAAATTAAACGGTTGTTATATGATGATATTATAAAATTAATCATTAAATAAGAAGATAATTTTTAGAAACTATTTCATAAAATGATATATACAAGTGTACAATTATATTTCGGTAGTAATATGTTGAAATTTATCGCTGATCATTAATGATTATTAGAATTAATCATCATTTAACATCTTTTGCTTGATACAGTTTGATTTTGGTCAATTATTTCACTTAACCTCATTTGACTTAATTGAACCGAAAAAAATTTTTTTTTAATGGAAAAGAATATTTAAACTTAACTGTTATCGATTTCAATTATAATGAATATTTAAGATCAAATTTCTTGAAATTCCCAACTTGAATAGACAAAATATTAAATTTCGAATGAAGATTTCAACTTATTGTTTACTGTTTTTTTTTAATTCACCATGTTAATTAAATAGCTAATAATTTTAAGGAATTTAACGAAGTACATGAATAATATTATTCGAGCATTATCATTTTCGTATTATGATGAAGTAATCACAAAATTTTTTTTTTTTTGGAAATGTTAATTTTGCTATTTTTGTTCAGCAGTAAGTAATGCATTAGCCTGTTTACTCCGAAAAACTTTTTTCATTAAAACACTAAGATTTCTCATAGCATCATTGGAAAGGAATTATAGCAGCAAATAGAAACAGACGGGTTTTTTTACATTAAATTAAAAATGTTTATACTGTTTAAACTAAATTAAAAATGTTTATATTTTTTAACATAAAATTCAAATTAGTCCATTTTATTCATCTGCGGT